ATTTATAGTGTATATCATTGATATTACTAATGATGATGATTTCTGATACAGCAGAATTTTGAATATATTTCACTGATACTACTAATGATGATGATTTGTGATATAGCAAGATTTCTAGCGTATATCACTGATAATACTGATGATGATTTACGATGTAACAGGATTTCTAGCATATTAGAATATAGCTCGTCAAAAATGACGAGGCAAGTACTACCACCCCAGTTCCATAGTATACCCTATTATACCAACATTCACTACACTTATAATGTCTCACGGTCCCCAACCCACCCCTCACTGCCCCCTTGCACCTTCGTCATTAAAATCATAATGGGTAGCCAGTAATCGAACTATTCTATCTGGATAAATGTATTTTGGCTTTTTTTTATGGCTCCCCTATTTCGAGAAATCAAGCGTGACATGACGTGACACACTGTTTTTTTGTTTTTTTTTATAGGTTAGATATCACCGAGACTGCTGCTGATGAATTATGTTAAATCATGGTGTCTAGCATATTTTAATGAGACTAATATTATTGTGATTACAGTTGATTACTAGTTATAATATAGAAATTTCATTGTAATTATTATTCATAAAGAAGAATCTTCAGCGTCTACCACTAGGATCACCTAATTGTCACACATGATACAGCAAGTCCATACGCTTACGTCTAATATCTCTTGATAATAGTTACTTTTTTAACATGGGTGGGATTTATAATAATTATGTTTCTTAATCGTTTAACCTGTATGCATTACTTACGTATATAACCCCAGAGATACATTGAAATAAACGTTTATAGTAAAGTGTAGAAAAATATGTTTTATTCCTGATAAAGAAGATGCATGCAAGTGCATTGAAATGTAGTTTAACAACAAGTTCAATAAATAAGATTATTCATATGAACAACTGTTAATTTGTTTTACAGAAGTTCCAAATAAAATGGCCGAAAGAATGCTACTAACTTGTACTTCAATTGATTATATCAGTATGAAAGAGTTAAGTTTAAATATAGAAAATAAAAGAGAAACCAAAACCTTATTTGTGACATGCTACTCCAAAAAAATATAGAGAAACTTAAACAGCTCTCTTCAGTTACTATATAAAGTTACGCAGGTGTTTGTAACTTCGTTTTACATGCCGTAGTTATCTGCGACTTTATTTTACATGCTCATTAAAAATTATGACCAAACTAAGTTCCAACTTATTTAACTAAGCTCAAATATGTAGAACTATTTTTAGATTTGAAATATTTAGCAAACACGAAAAAAAAAACTTTTGAGTATTACTTTCACACAATAAATTGGAAATCCATAAAGCGTATCAGATCAAAAGTTCACCTGCTTACAAGTTTCGCATAGCCGTGGGAATCCAAAAGCAGATTTTCTGGTTTCAGGTCTCTGTAGAGAATGTGTTTACTGTGGAGGTATTTTACTGCTTCGACCACGCAAGCAGTGTAAAATCTGGTTGTAGTGTCGTCGAAAGTTCCTCTAAAGAAGGGAAAAACATTGGTAAATTATTACGCGTCGTAGAAATATTAAACTTAAAATATAATATTTTCATATGTGGAAGTTGATCACCCCAAGTACAGGTTAGCTGCAGGTGAACTCGGAGATATTTCGTGTTTTTATTTTCCGGGATAAAAGTGATATTTTTAAGTATTATAGAGAGTCAGGTCAGTCTCATTGGTACTCAATATATGTTTTAGTAAAGCTTCATATTTCGTGTTCTTCGAATACCTAAAGCTCCAACCATCAAGTTGTTTTTATACATAGATCATATGAAAGAGCGATGTCATAGTTAACAAGAATTTAGGATAGAGAAAGGCAGGTAAATGAACGTTATTAAATGTTTGCAAAGGTTTCTTTCTTTTCGGCTGAGTATCTTAAGCAGAGTTCTCTATGGTTGTGGTGAATTTTAGGTTTGTTTTATAAACTCTAAGAACCCATGAGGGAAAGCAAAGGAGAATATGTTATAATATGTCAACTACACTAATCTGCCATATCCAGTGCCGACGAGACCTTTTGCTCAATACCAAGACTCATCAGGCCGGTTGGAGTACGAAAGACATAGTAGTAGTTTAGGCGCTATATATACATTAGTAGAGACCCGCAAAACATATGCGGCCAAATTAGTATCTTTATTGTAATAATACTTCTTTAAATACAGGATTTCTAGAGAAATACAAAAGAATTCTAGTCGCAAACACTGAATTCTGTAAGTCCATTTATCTTCATCCTAACATTAGTTAAGCCTTGATTAAGTACGGTCTATATTCGATAAAGAGATAAATTAACATTGTAACTTGGGTACGCTTTTTGCTTTAGTTTAGTTAGGGCTACACCTTACAATTTTCTAATATTATTGTACGACCCAATGTTAGATCTTTATAAAAAACTTTGATAAGCATTTAATATGTTGTATAAAATGTCTACTAAAATAACTCGACTTTTTTAACAAAGATACGCTTTCAAATTTCGAAAAAGGTGCAACTTTTTGTACATTTTAGTCTAAATATATCCGTAATTTTCGATTAATCGTAGACTAATTGACAGGAAGCCAAACTACTTAAATTACATAATAAGTTGCTATGTTTGTTTG